ATGGTACGATCTGCTGTGCAAGACGTGTTTAAAGTGTTTAAAAGCAAAGATGTTAGTCTGAGGGCTAAGTTGCTGCCTAGCCCATGCATCATGCATGTTAAAGTTGGACAGTGAATAAGGAAGACCATAGAAGAATTAATGCTTTTGAGTCGTGGTGTTTACAAAGGATATTGAAAGGACCACGGACTTCCCAGAAGAACAAACAAATCTGCCCTGGAAGAAGTACAGCCTCAAAGCTTTTTAGAGGCGAGGATGCTGAAATGTTGTCTCTCTTAATTTGGGCATGTTGTCAGAGGGATCAGTCCCTGGAGAAGGATATCATGCTTCGTAAAGTGGAAGGGTAGTGAAAAAGAAGACTCATCCCCAACAAAGTAGGTTGACACAGTAGCAGCTACAGTGGGCTACTGTGTGAGGATGGCGCAGTACTAGGCAATGTTTCCTTCCATTTGTCCATGACTGGAAACTGTCTGGATAGCACCTAACAACAACACAAACTATGTAGATAGTGATTTTCTTTCTCCCCACTTCTCCACTCTCAGTCATCCCTAGTAACAAGTAATGAACTTCGGTCTTTGCTTACCTGTTTATTTATTTAGTTTTGAGATTTTATTGTGACTTGAGAGGTAGTTTACATGGGGGAACACTGGTTTTACACTCATCGTTTAATTACAAACATTACAATCTCCTCCGTGCGTTGTCATTCAGTAGTAATTTGCTTCTATTCCGTCTGTTTGTTTTTTTAGGGGATGTACACCAAAACTCTCAGGAATATGTAATAATTTAAACAACCATAGGGCACATTCTACAAGCCTGCTTCCTAGCTGCCAGCATACAGCCTTTCTCTTTTCATGAGTCTAGAGCCCTCAGCTGCTCCCTCTCTCCATGCCCTCATCTCTGCCTCCATCTCTGGTGTCACTGCTTCTCTGGATAGGTTCCCACATTCTGCTTTTGCTCTTCTCCATTGATGGTCCTAGGATCCTCTGTTCCTGGACTGTTGGCTTAACTACTCCCCTCTTTTTGTTACAAAACTTCTACCTTTACAATTGTGACAGTTTCAGTTAGTCGTGATAGCAGTTACTCACTACTGAATCATAACAATGTTATTCTCATCTCTTTTCACCAGACCCGTCTAAGCAAGGTGACTACTATTCAGTTACATATTTATTTTTGTTGTCATAGAAAAGCAAGGTTATATACTGTATGTCTTTTTGTGATTGAATTATTTTACTCAGCATGATGTTCTACAGATTCATCCACACTGTGTTTTCAGAACTCGTCATTATTATTTATGACTGACTAGTAGTATTCCAGTATAGTTAGGTACCACATTTTGTTGATCTGTTCATTTGTTGATGGGCAGTTACGTTGTTCCGTTCATTGTGCTGTTGCGAACAGTGCTGCAGTGAACATAGGTGTGCATATGTCTGTTCACATCTTTACTGCTAGATCTCTAGGATGTGCACCTGGAAGTGAGATTGTTGGATTATAAGGCAGTTCTATTTCTCGGTTTTTGTTGAAGTGCCACAATGTTTACCAAACTTGTCATACCATTTTACAATCCTACAAGCAGTGGGTGAGGGTTCCAAGCTCCCCATGTCTCTGCCTCCATTTGTTAGTAGATGTTTTTGATCGCTGCCGTTTCATTAGGAGTGAGATGATACCTCATTGTAGTTTTTTTGTTTTAAATCTGTGTTTAAGGTTGAAGTTTACACAGCAAATTAGGTTCCTATT